GCTTCTATTTAACCAAAAGATTATAACTAAACCAGTATTTTTACTGATACAAACCTTTACTTTGAATTTGTTAGTGATACTTACTCAAGAAAAAATTTCTTCACTAGCCTGGCAGAGACAACAAAGATAGACTTATCGGATCCCTTAAACCTGATGTAAAAGCCCCAAATGGTTAATCAGGGATAGTATACAAACTTAGTCAAAAAAAGATTTAAACAGTGGTTAATCTGACTCGCCTGTACTGGCAACTAACAAAGAATTGCGATGGGCAGTAGATGTTTCCGAATCGAAAATTTGTTTCTACTTACTACTAATGCACGAACCTAACAAGATAAAATTAAGAACATACTACGAATACCCAACTGACATAAACTCAAATGATATATAAGTACTTCGATGTCCAATAAAAGTCAGAATCAAGTATTTAAGTAACATACAATAAATACTTGTAGTATATAACTCAATACTTGACCCACAAGAATATTAAAAAATTATTCATTTAAACAAACTCATTTATAATAAATAATAATTAACAGAAAACTTGATTTGCTAAAGTAACTCCACTTTGATTTGAGAGATAGTTCTGGTTTCTAGAAGTAGATCTGTTCACTTCCAGAAACATTACTGTGCAACTTAGTTTATGCTTTGAGCGGTTATATATAATTCTTTACAATTTACTTGGTTTGTCTGCAATATAAATCATAAAACTCCGGTAGGATGTGATGGTTCTAGCGATCGGTTCCTAGAATTAGATCTGTTTCTTTTTAAGACCTTTACTCTGCATCGTGATGAAGATCTGTTTGCGATGAAAATCACAAACACTTCAATATTCTATAATTTACTATCCATTAAGCAAATAATAGATTTTCTGATTTTTTAATAAGTTCTGGAGTTATCCCTATGAAATAGTTCTTAATTAGCTATCAGTTCAAAGACTATTTTCTATCTATTTTTTATTTTTTGTATTTTTTTTCTGTTATTAAAAGTTACAATAGTTCATTGTGGCCTATAAGATCAATTATGGTATATATGGAGACAATTTCCTAAGTTTGTCCCTATAATTAAGGACTGTAATAAATATAATATCTCTTAGTTTCAAAATTCATAATTAATTCGATTTAATGACAGCCATGAGGAGTTATTAACCTCACATCTTGACCATCGTAATCAGACCAAGCGGTTAGGAAAGAAGAAGCCTAATCAATAATAAAATGTTGATTAAATATTGTCTAAATACAATAGATCTGAGTTTAGATGTATTGTATTGAGAGTAAAAATCCTGTTGTTGACTTGAATGAGTTGTTTGGATTATCTTTGACTTCTGAAATTGGTGCTTATCATCTTAAATAGTTTATATTCAATGTTTCTGAGTAGTGATGCAATTTAATAAGTGAATATTTTAGTTCAGGTGCTATGAATGGCAATCTATTTTCTAAGTATTCTCTTGTTATTATGATTAAAGTCAGAGATAAGGTCTGTACTATGATATTTAGTATGACTTTAAATGAAATTAACTACAAAAAATATTCGGTGAGTATATAATAAATAAATAATTTGCAAGAATATAATTTATATGGTGAGTGTTGACATCAGTAAACGTAAACTTTTATTTCTGTTTAAATACAATTATGAAAATATAATTGAAGTATCTTCGTTAGTAGAGTGGATAGTATAGATAGTATAGAACGTCGTTTTGAACAAAAATATTTTACTGACATAAATTATAAATATTAATGCACTTTTCTAACAATTTTATTTTATCATACTAGATCTTTGAACCCATTCACTCATGGATCGCTCTAAATATGTCAGCGTAACACGGAATCAAACCACAACGGTGTAGATTCGGTGTAGATTTCACGTTTTAATGACTCTAACGGCTCTATGCTCTACTTAGGAGAAAATGAGGGGATTATGACATATTGTTATAATCAATTTAGTATAAATATTATCAAAGTATGAAGCAGTATTTAAAATTTCTTTTTTTTTTACAAATTAAATCCTTTGGTAAGTAAATATTCTAGAATTCTTTAAAAAAATGTTTCCATAATAAATTATTATTATCCATATCCATTTTCTCGATCACACAGATGGACTAAAATAGTAAGTCTTCAACATTATGTAGGAATTTCCACGCTGTGATGTTGCAAGAACGCACGATTGCAAACAAATACACAGCATTCATAATATTGATGTATCTATTAGCAGCACTCCTAAGCTGAGCCATTTTCGTATCTTTCATTAAGGGATGAAACTCATTTCATTGGAAAATCAACCCTAATACATCTCACATACACAAAATCACGCACATAAATGCAAAAGATGTATGTCTATGAGCTAAACGCATTCTACTCCATGAAGTCAAAACGAGACTCGTAAGGGTAACTTTTCGAAAATCAATAAAATATTCTTTATAAACCAAGGACTTTTGTTGTGCAGGGTCGTCATCTGTGGCAGTACGCGCTCACGCACTATTAAGAACGCCATTTGCAGTATAGACAGACATTTAACAGAATTTCATTGTTAATGTTCGCATTTCTTCGAGCAATTTTACGATTCGTTCTGGAGGGGGCACATTTGCATCTGAGTTCCGTTTTAAAGTTGAACATGGAATCAGAAATTTAACACAATTTTATTGTGTTTAATGAACAAACTAAATGATTAACTCAAATCTGTGAGATGCTTTTAACATAATCATATAAATAACTTTTATTTCACATAATTGTAATAAATATATCATAATCAGTTACTTCAAAAATTCATCTACCTATTTAAGATAATAGATAATATAATGAATTAAATTAATTAAATTAATTAATAGATTGAATGAAAGTTAAGTTGATATTAGTTAATGAATTGAGTTGAAAGTTGATATCAGTTAACTCGTAATACCATGACACTCCAGTATAGCGTGCAGTAGATCCATACAGTCTTGCAATGATGTACTTATAACAAATACACATATGTATTTATGTCATCTTTCGTTTTATTTTGGGGCGAGGAAGATCTTTAGAGTCCTTATGTGCTATACAGTTTACCTAAGTAAGCTGTGTAATAATTTTTATACTCCATTGAAGTTTAAAGCTATATCGCATATACATATAAAATAATTAAGGCTTATGATATAATATATATTTAAAAAGACTAAGTTGCTGAGTTTGAATATACGACTCGTAGCTACTCATCACTATTGACAACTATATATACCTCACGATTCTTACAATTTTAAATAAACGCAAGTTTTAAATGAAGCTTAACAATGAAAGGACTAAGGACTATTGTATATAATTGCATATAAACAAGCCTACAACCTATAACTAAGAGTCTCTCTACTTAATTAAGTATACATTACTTTTTATTTTTGTATTAAAGTCGCGAATTAAGAAAATACATTATGTAGCATTTTTGATATATGCTATTATAAATGTATAAAGTAATATCGGTAGAGATTAGGGAGATAAATGCTTTGGTCTTGCGAAAGTATGACTTCCTATTAATAAGAAGGAACTCTCGCCAAAATTGCAAATACAGCGAAGCAGGTATTGTCCCCAAAGAACTGGAGAGCTATTCGAGCCATAACAACAACAGTGGGTTGGTCTAAAACTTGTTTATTTGGCACGTATTATTACTATTATTCTAAATAACAGTTATTTAGAAATAAATACAGTTTTTTCCAAAAAACTATTTTAATTAACACTTGTATAGCCCTTTTCGAAATTGTGAATATATCACTGATGCGATTAATTTAGAGTATTTCTACAATGTACTAAAAGCAATTATGAAATAATCCAAAAGATTATTTTATTTGTTAGATACAAATAATTCGTTGATTCCTTTTGCATAAATAATATATGCATTATGATAACATATATACCTAATGGTGGTTTCTTGACTTAAATAGTCAGTATTTAGTTATAATCTCTGCAAACTATAAGATGAATAGTTATTATTCTGTTATCCACTTCTCTTAGTGATACAAACGACTTCATATCAGCAGTCGTGACCGAGACGACGACTAATACATCAAGTTCAATCTGCTTTAACAATCAGTTATCGCTTTTTCTGTAAAATATTAAATTCCTTTCATCGAAGGGACGAAGATATTGCTCACACCCCAGTTCCTGCAACAATTAGCATTTTCTCCAGAAAATCTTACACCTTTCATTGAAAGATTGATAAGCTAATCGCTTTGAACTTTGGAATAAACCATTTATTTTTAACAAAATATAGTTTGTGTTTCATACTATATCATATAAACTAAAATATAAGAAATCAAGCCAATTTATGAGTGAGTAGCGGTAAGGATGTTTTCATAGTTCAAATTATAAATTGTCTTTTTAAATTCTATCAATAGCTAACTTTCTCGTGCCCTCAATATGTTTAATCCGCTTCTGATCTGAATTTGTTTTGTAAAATTTGAAGAAACTATACGTAAACAACTGTTGTACGTTTTCCATTGATATATTTTAATTAAAATTATCAGTACCGAATCAGAGTCTTATTAATAGTCTCATCAGTTAAAAACGTGAGCACCTAGCATATAAAATATATTATTCATCTCCAGACTATTCAGCTCACCGAAATATTCAATAAAAATTGATTAAATTTCTTAATCTCTGTGATTTTAATAATTATGATTGTAATTAAATGGAATTCCTATCAATTATTGTCTGACTATTTCCATTGTCTATTTTCATTAATAAGATTATTTGTTTGAATTACAGTGCATTTTTCGCAGTTGGGTGGAATCTAAGTCCATATCAAGACTACGAATGTTTTTATCAATGACGGAAGCTTCATTTATGCCGTTTATTTCAAATTCTAGTTACTAGGTGTCTCAAAGCTCACTCTATCTTCTATTCAACTTTTCGAATTTTCATTCTTAAAATTTTTGTCACTGGTTTCTGTTGATTATGACGAGTTCTGCAAATTCTCAAGACACAAATTAATTGAATCAAATTTTATTTAATAAAAGCAAATATGACAAAGAAAGCAAAAACTTATCCAAAAATACATTTTTAGTCTTTTGTGCTGAAATTGATCAGTCAGTGAGTGTATATGAAACGCTTATTTACTAAAAAATGTTTATCAAAATTGCAAAAAATTCAAACAACAAAAAAAAAAAAAACAATTAAAAATGTGAAAAAAATACAAAATTAGCACAAATACTCAAGCCAATACTTAAAAAGAAAATCTTATTTCGAGAATTTATGATTTAAGATTTATGTTCAATATAGAAAACTTCAATGTGACGATGGAACTGGTATGACGGGCTGGAAAAGATGTAGGCGAGCATCGGCATGACCCAACTTATTAGTTGCATTACAGAAGTAATCACCGAAATCATCATCCGAAACGCTGGCAATACGCAAAACCGACGTTGTGGTCTCATGCGAAGAAGCAGTGTTAGCAATTTGATGACGTGAGTCCGTCTGCAACTTGACGCCATTTCTAAACCAGACTACAGCAGGTGCTGGATAACCCTGCACATTGCACTCCAATTCAGCGACATGTGACAGCACTTGTGCGACTTTGGGGCGTTGAACAGCAATCTGTGGTCGAAATTCAACTTCAACACGTATCAAACGCTTATCGGGTTCACCGACACCATTATCAGCAATACAATAATAACCGCCGCGATCTAAACGATGCGCTTCCTTAATACGTAATGTAGGACCAGCTTGTGTATGACCACCGGCCGGCATAATAGCATTATCTTCACGACTCCATGAGATTGTTGGTGGTGGAAAACCATTTGCATAGCAACTGACTTCTAAATTTTGTCCTTCAGTGACCAAAGTTGTTTTTGGTGTACGTTCTTCTGAAATCACTGGCGGATGTTTAATAGACAAATTCATTTTTTTCGTTACCTTATCTGCAGCCGAGACTATCACTTGACATTCGTATGTACCCATGTCACTGGCCTCTATTTTTGCTATCTCAAATGAATATGTAGCACTGTCTTTCTTATCGTCTTTTGTTTCAGTAATCGAGTAACGTGGATCGCTTAAACTGAGTATCGAACGCATCGAAAGCACAACAGACCCAGAACTCGATTCACTTGTATATTTCGCCCAACTAACAGACATCTTTCCGACATTTTCAACGGTACAATTAAAGACCACATTATCTCCAATACTGGCCACTATATCTCGCGTTATGTCACTAATAGTAGGAGTGGCAGCAGACGCCACATTGACGTTTAATAAGCAGCAAATCGCTGCACAAAACAAAAAGTACACTTGCATTGTTATTTGCTTTGTTCCTTCAATTAATTTGTTTACTTAATTATAGAATTGAACGAATGAGCGATTGAACGTTTGAACGATTGAGCGATTGAACGTTTGAACGCCAAATTTGAAATTTTAATCCAACTCAGAATTATACTTGAACTTGCGACCGATCTGCACCGACTGAGCACTCAATTCTTCCCAGTTGCCCGATCAAGCGTTGCTTTCGTCGTTAACAAAAACAACACAACAATTTATTTATGCCTGTACGCTGCCGAACGACGAGACGATTTATTTGGACACCCGCAACGTTCACACACACAACCACACGCACCTACAAGATATGCAGCAGTAAATATGTTGCCCTCTCTACATATGTACATACGAACAGGAAAACATATTTATAACATATTTACATTACGTGCATCACGTACACACACGCACATACTTACATCTACTTAATATGTTCTCATAATTTATTAGTTATTATTTATATTTGTTTTCTTATCAATGAATTTCACTTTCGCTGCTTCTACTGCTGCTGCTGCTGCTGCTGCTGTTGTTGTTCTTCCTATGACTCAAAACAAAACACCAACAACAATAACAACAAAGCCCACAGTTAAACAGTTCGGCTGTTGTGTTGTGCTGTGTGTGGTGGAGCCTCTGCAGATATGACAAAGCTGGAGGAGATGATTTGCCGACGCGCTAAAGCAATTGAACTTGTTTTGATTATTTTGCTTAATTTCGTTTCGTTTTGTTTTTATTTTTTATTTTGATTCTCTAAAAACGTTGTAAGCATTTTTTTTTAATTTTTTATTCTCAGTTTTTATTTCTTCACTCCATACTTCTGCTTCTATTTTTCGCAAGCACTTTAAATTCTTTAGTTTTTGTTGTACTTTTTTGGGAAAACGAAATTTCCACACGGAATTTTTAAGTGTTTCGCAGTAGTCCTGCACCGCTTTCGACTGAAATTGAATGTTTCCACACAGCAATTGGGAAATTTTTTTGATTTTAAACACATATTGACCTAAGTAACCCTGAAAGTTTGATTTATGACTTGACGTACCGTTTTTAGGTAGCAGAGAGGAAATGTGCGTTCGGAATATCCCAACAACAGAACCAGCATTGAAAACTCTGTAACAAAGCATTGTTAGAATTTTATTCCCAGTAGGAAAATTTTCAAATGATGTATGTGCCCAAGTGTGAGATTTAGTGTGCGGCGGCATTTATGTACGAATAATTCCAGTGTAATTTAATAATTCCATAGGTTAAAACAAAAATTTAACAAATAATTCACTATTATTTTTACTGATAAAAGCACAGTTGTATTTTTGGTTATTAATTAAAATGTTTATGGATAAAACCACGACTATCCAGGCGGTAGCACTCTAAGCACAATTGTTATTGTAATACCATTTGCTTTAAAGCTCAGTACAAATACTTCCTTTCTTATATATTGCTAAAGAAATCATATATGTATACTCGTATTGTATATAAAAACTTTCTTATATACTATACAATGCATTTACTGTACACTTTATATTTATCAAGTATATATATTGTATTCTTGTATATGTTGATCCTTTTTTTCCAGTCAGCGCAACTGGGCAGTTTTACTCTTTGATAGCTGGGGGTACTACAGGGTCCCACCAATCTCATTGATTAATTTATGTATTGCCTATAAGCTTCATGATTATTCAGTGATTGATCTAAGATCTGCGTACTTCCCCATGCGGAGAGTAATTACACTAAGATTAGATAGTGGTAAGAAGGATAGCCTGTCAATTTTCGCATATAACTTCAGGGTTGTATTCTTGTGTACAACATAAAAAAGTATTTATTTGCAAGGTCAAACAAAGCTATCGTATGCTTGTGCGAAGCAATGCCTGACATGTTTACAAACACAACTTTTGAGTTGTTAAAGTCTTCCACTAAGAAAAATCACTAAGAACTTTTGTTAAAGTTGATATTCCAGCAAACATACATACATTAAGACTGAAAAGTTTTCGGAAATTCTCATTTAAAATTCGCGCGCTGTATATTTTTCGATATTTTAAGTTTATGTAGTTTGGCAGCACTGTCCTTAATTACTATGCCAAAAATGAGCTCGATCTGTCAGACAGTTCGTTTACGGCAGCTGTTGAAACCAGTTCACCTCAGTAGTGCGTTGCGAAATGTCTTCGACGGTCGTACGACCGTCCTGGAAGGCTTTGTACCACTCATAAACTTGAGTTTTCGATAAAACTGATTCCCCATAAGCCTTTTGTAGCATTCGCAACGATTCTGCACACGAAATTTCGTTCGAAACACAAAATTTGATGCAAACTCTTTGTTCAATATTTTTTTCCATTGTTTTTTTCGCAACGCCCTACTGAGGTGAACTGGTTTCAACAGCTGCCGTAAACGAACTGTCTGACAGATCGCGCTCATTTTTGGCATAGTAATTAAGGACAGTGCTGCCAAACTACATAAACTTAAAATATCGAAAAATATACAGCGCGCGAATTTTAAATGAGAATTTCCGAAAACTTTTCGGTCTTAATGTATGTTAAACAAGAAACAATCAATTAGTGATATTGCCTTATAACCATAATGATTTTCAATCATTCTTTTTATAACTAAATAACTAAGATATGACATGGCGGGCTTAAAACTTATAAAGTTTAAGTTCATATGATTAATATTCATTTAATAAAAAAATAAAGTAATTACAAAACGTTATCGGGTTTTTTCCTTACGCAGTATATTTCTCCAGGCACTTTTGCTGCGTTAACCCCTGCTCCAGTCTCGCCAGTCTCAAGTGTAGATAGAGCTTTTTCAACTTTATCACTCCACCAAAGCCACGGTCTACTTCTGTGCCGATTTTCTCTAACTGCTGTAAATATCATTTTCAATAAAACATCGTCCACGAATGCGTTGCTTCCACAAAGTGAACACGATCCACCTCTACTCTTCTTCAAATGGCTCTTCAAGTACCATTTTCAACGGAGCATCTTCTAAAAATGCGGTTAATGCTTCTTTAAGTTGAGTACTTCACCGGTGATACGTCTACCTCTACACCTTCTATCTCCAATTTCTGCTTAAAATACGTTTTTCGTAAGGGCATTGTCATTCATTTTCACAACATGACAAAGCCAGCGAAGCACTTGGATGTTATTGCGCTAAATTATATCAGTGTCGTGGTACAGTTCATATAGCACGTGATTTATTTGAATGGGGTAGTTTTTGTCAACTCGTAGAGGTTTAAAGAACTTACGAAGAACTCCCAGTGCAGCTTCATCATTCTGTCTTAACGTCCATGCTTTTCCGCTGTACTGACGTATAGGTAGAATGAGCAACATATAGAGCGCAAATTTTGTCTGTCTAGAAAGAGCTCTGCATCCCCATTAACTATTGAGTAGGTAATAGTAAATAGTAGCAATTATTGACAATTGTAATTCTTCAAGTGTGATTTCGTATATTTTTAGGGATACTAAATTTATTTGTGGAAGTGAATTGTTTATAGAAATTAATATAATAGCTTTTACACATATATTAAGAATTTATATTCATATATTTTAGTTATATCCTCGCATTAAGTAGTAATGGATTTCATTAGTTTATACAATAATGTTTTCTGCTAACTTAAGTAATTAAAATGCTTAGAAATGCACTAAACTATAGAAAACAGATACATAATATATGGGTTTTTAATCTTGTAATTAAGTTTTGTTAACTGTTCAAGGGAACTGAAGTAAACTTATAAGACGAAGGCCTCTCCCTCTAATAACACTATGTCCGATTTTATATTTTGCAATTAAAAAAGGATTTATAAAGTAATAAGCCCCGCCCCTTCTACCCTTCCTGAATGTAAAATTTCGATGGCCGAAACGTGAGCACATCTAAAGGTTATTTTTTTTGTTTTTCGATAGTTTCTGAAAATAAAAATCAGAAACAATCCATATCTTGAACTTGTTAACAAAATAAATAAAATAATAAATATTTTTTAAATTAAAATTAAATTAAAATTAAATAGCATATAAAAAAAATTAATTTAAATTAAATAATAAATACATAAATTAAAATAGTTTTTTTTTGGTAATTTTTATTTAATTTTAAAACTCGATATATAAGTTCCACTTGTTAGCTTGGTTTAATTTTTTAATTTAGTTTTAATACTCGACCACTGGATTCCACATATTATTCCAAGAAAAATTGGTTGTAATCAATTTTCTTTACAAATTTTACAAAACAGGTTTCCTACGAAAATGGTAAATGCTAGAATTCATTTAGGCTAGATTAAAATATATGTTATTTACTTATTCAATATATATGTTTACCATGACGATAATTCCTGCAAAAAATTTTATTATATTGTTTTGTTATAACGCATTATGTTATAATGAAGAGTACCCAGTAATTATTTATATATAATATTATAGTTGCGATATTTTTCTAGAAATTGACGACTGTATGCTAAGCTAAATTTGCTGAGATCGGACAATAATCACAACGTTTAGAGGACTTTGATCTGGTCTTTGAGTTTACTTAGTGCACTGTAGTTAGTAAGGTTCTAGAGTATTCTCTCTGTCTTAGACCCCACTATAAACTGTTATATATATTACATATTTCAGAAAACTTATAGGAATTTAAAATCAGGTTTTTAAAATATATATATTACAACATTTAAGTATAAATCATTTGAAATGAATATCACTGCGACAAAGGCAACATCTAAAAGAGTTCCAATTGGGTTTCAGATCGCTTATTTAAGATCGTCATAGTGATACCTCTTCACATACACTACAATCATCTCAGTTTTGTTTTAGAAAAACAACAAACGACAATTGCAGCACTAATGATTGATTGCTTTCCTTAATTCTTCCACTCTTTCGCGCAGCGGGTGATAATAGTTCCTAACCAGATGGAAGATGGAATGCATGTGACATGTGGCTCAACTATCAACTAAAACAAATTTTTAAATATTTTTTATTTGGTTACAAACGTTGAAATTAAATAAATTAAAATTAAATAAATCAACAAAAGTGAACTCAAAGTTTAATAGGAGAAAAACAGAAAAACTAAAAAATTAAAAATGAAATAAAGAATAAATTTTGAATTAAAATCTGATATAAATCGTGTGCAAAATAATAAATTTAAAGTTAACTATCACTGCTGCACCACTAGGAGAGTGCAGGAGAGTCCTATTCACTTGGCTGGTGTAATGAATTCCAGCAACAACAAATGCGAGTATTCCAACTGCCAAATGGCAAACTGCAGCCAAAAACGATGAGAAACCGAAAAACTGGCCATGCAGCCAGCATGCGTTTTGCGTTATGATATCCTTTTAGTGCATCGTCGTCCTTATTGCTTTGTTGAATATCGTTGAATAGTGTCATGTCATGATGGCCATGAGAAAGTAGTTGCAATGGCAGTGGTACTGGCACTGGCGCTGGCAGTGGTAATGCCAGCAATAGCAGCAATGAAAGCTGTAGAAGCAATTGAAGCAGTCGAAGCATCAGGATAGTAGCACCCAAAGCGACCGAAAACGGATCTGAAACTGAAAATGTCAAATTTTGTAATTTATTACTTGAATCCTGTTTCTGTTATGTTCTGTTGTTGGTGAGACTTCAGTGATGTGCTTGTTTGCGGTAGGGTTGCTTCAATTGAAAGCAAACGCTTATTCCTATATTTTATGATTTTATTGTACGACTATTGTATATAAATATTCAGTCTTGCTTTATGAATTTATGCTCTCCATTCAAAT